CTTTTACTAGAAGTTTGAAGTGTAATATAAGATTGTTTATATGTGCTCATTCTGTTTTCCTAATGTGGGAATCCACTGTTATAAATTTCCCTCTGAGGAATGCTTTCATTGCATCCAACAGGTTCCGGTAGGTTGTATGTGCATTTTTGTTTGATTGTAAATAGTGTTTAATTTCTACTTTGATTTCTTCTATATTGAATAGAAGTGGCAATAGTGGACATAGTTATCTTGTTCCTGACTTTAGAGTGAAAGCTTTCAGTGTTTTACCATTTAATATGATGTTGGCTATTAGTTTGTCATAGATGGCTTTTATCAGATTGAGATAAAGACCATCTATTCAAATTTTCTGTATGGTTTTATCATGAATAGGTGTTAGACACTGTCAAGTCTTTTTCTACATCTATTGAGATAACCATGAGGTTTTTGTCCTTGGCTCTGTTAATATGGTGCATTATATTTACCGATTGCATATGTTGAACCATCTCTGTGTCTGTAGGATGAATTCTACTTGGTCATGGTGTACAGTCTTCTTGATGACTTGCTGTATTCTGTTTGCCAGTAACTTATTGAGGATTGTTGGGTTTATGTTCATTAGGGAGATTGAACTGTGGATCTCTTTTGGTTTGACCCCTCTCTGCTTTTGGTTTCAGGGTAATCTTGCCTCCAGGAATGAATTTCAGCTTATTGTTCATCTTGCAATTCCATTAAACATGTTTGATGAGTTATGGCAGTACGTCTTCTCTAAATTTCTTGAGGAATTTGGCAGTGAATCCATCAGAACCTGGGCTTTTCTTTGTTGGTGTATTTTTAATTACACTTTAAATTTCATTGACTGATATTGATTTATTTAGAATTTTGACATCTACTTGATTGAACTTTGGTAATTCATATGTATCTAGATATCTGTCCATTTCTTCTCCATTTTAAAGATTTCACAAACACAACCCAGGTAGTACAGGAAATACTACAAAGAATGTACACCCGGGATCTCATCTTATTAAAAAGAATTTGGATAGCAAAAGAAATTACAATTATATAATGTTATGATTTTACTCATATTTTCATAACTTTACCAAATTTTTTGTACATTTTGCAAAGTACAATTATTTAAAATGTATTTATGCATTATTTTTCCATTTTTCTTTCCAAATATGTCACACCTACCTAATGTTTGAGAACAGATATGAGTTTTGGGAAATCAATTATACCTCAATTACATCTCATAGTATCCTTAATGATTTTTTTTGAGCTGTTTAAATCACTTTTATTTTTTTATTTTAAAAATAAAAGGAGGAAAACATTAACAGACAGGCAACATTTTACAAAATAGCAAAAGAACAGTACAGACAGTATGGAGTTACAAACAAAGTGGTAGGGAATTAACAATGCTTGTTGTATTACATATTGATATCTTCAAAGTGATTTCTCATGATATCCTTAATGATTTTTATGCTTACCTGATTAATCCCAGTTATTCAGTGAAAGATACATGTGTAGACAACAAAATAGTTCCATTCACTCCTTTATTCTGAACATTCTCAGTCAAAAAGAGGTATCTCTGGATAGAAAAAACCCACTGTATAATCTCCTCTTTCTCTGTCTTTCTAAAATCTTGGATAGTTTTCTTACTCTGTCCTGTAATTGGTTTCTAATTCAGTAATTTATGTATAAATGAGTGAGTAGGCATAATTTCCAAAGAGATAAAGTTATTTGATATAATTGTTAGTCTTATAAAAGTTGCTACAAAATCATAAGTCTTTTAAAAATTTGGCAAGTGTCTTTTATAGATTTATACTTCTATTCCAGTCCAGTTAGATATACATCCAGCTTGTGAAAATATTTGAAGCCATTAGTCTCCATTTTCATAATTAAGGTTTAAAACTCTCAATATCACTTCAGCATTTATTATCTAGGAATTCCTCTTTCATTACTGAATGACAGTGTTTTTGGTTGTGAGCTTTGTCTTTCAACTCTAAGTATATCACCTTATCTGGCCTTCCAGATAAGGTTTTATTTTTTCTGAACATATATTGTTAATTGGTTTTTCTCTGGTACCGGGAACCAAACTCATGACCTTGCGCTTGCCAGGCAGGCGCTTTGCCGCTGAGCTAAATCCCCAGCCCCTTCTGAACATATATTGATAATTGTTTAGTGATCTTTTTCTAGCTTTTTCGGTCTTTATCACTTGTAGAAATCTTCCATGACAATTTATATGCTTTTATCAAGCTATTCATGATAAGAAATGTACATGTACCAGCTGCTCTCCATGAAGAATATAATCATTATGTACTACAAATGTGAACAAATAAAAAATAAAAATTTAAAAAGTAAAGCAAAGAGTGTATAATGTTGGATTAATAAAGAACTGAAATGAAAAGTTAACAAAGAAATGAATAGATATTTCTGAGATTGTGTTTTAGTCCTTTGTCTATCTCTCTGAGAAAACAAATGGTCAGCTGGTCTATGAAAAAAGGTTCAAAATTCAAATTCAATTCAAAATTCAAAATCATTAGGAAATGCAAATTCAAACCTCAGGGAGATATTCCATCATACCTGTCAGGGTGGCTCTTGATAATATGCATGAAAGAACTCAAGTGTTGAATCAGATGTGGCAAAACATGAGGCTTCAGACACTATTGGTGGAATGTAGATTATTGTTGTTGTTGTGGAAAATAGGAGGGAGATTCCTAAATAAATTAAAAGCAGAACTACCATATACACTATCAAATCTTCAGAGTATATATCTATAGAAAACTGAATCAATATAGTAAAGTGATAAATACACTTGTATGATTCTTGTAGCATTGTTCACAATACCTAGGACATTTAATCTAAGTGGTCATCAATAGATGAATGGTCATCAATAAGTGGTCACCAATAGATGGATGGATAAAGAAAACGTGATATGAAGGTTCGTTGCAAAACTACTCCAGATTAAAAAAAATAACCCATCACTGTGAATAAGGTAGGTGAGTAGCAAAGATTTTATGTTATGACAAATAATCCAGGCACAGATGAGCACATACTGCATGATGTATGCGTGATATAAATCAGTTACACTCAGAAAAGCAGAACGTTGGTCACCCTTGACTAAGGCCTGGGGTCTTCTGGGTAGATTAATCATCTCCTTATAGGTAGTAGTAGGTTCTAGAGACATACTTTAAAGCATGGTAATGATAGTCATTAACAATATGATATTCTTGAAAATGGCTAAGATCATATTTAATGTTATCACCAAAAATATGCAAGGAAGATATTTATCATTCCTATATGTATAATTCGGTATATGTAATTATATATAGTCTTTATATATATGTACTTTAAACCATATGTTTATGGAAACACCCACATATGTATTTGTTTTTGTGTATCAATTAAAATTGGAGAAAATACACAGGCTTCTCTGAGTTTTCTTTATCTTTCAGACGGCAAAGTTTCTCCTTGCGCCCTACGTGACTGCGCTCCTGTAGCTGCTGGGGAAGGATTCTCCAAAGCACTCAAACTCTCTACATGGAGACGCCCACAGAAACTTCTAATTGTTTCTGGGAATTGGGATCTGGAAAGACCTTATTGACTTCTTTACTTGTTTCTTACTGTCATCTCAACTTCCTGAACATGCACTGTCATGAAAATTACAGGTGAAGTGGTAATTGCGTTTCAGGGGAATTGAGATCACACAACCATGGCCCATATCTTGGGATCTGGACACCTCCCTCCCACACAAGCAGGAGGTCTTGCGACTGTCGCCTCAATTTGCTGTTCAGGAAGCTTGTAGGAACTTGGTATTTTCTGTTCTAGTCTGTGAAGTAGAGGCTGTGAGAGAAGGAACTAATTCAGCATCTGCGTTTTGGTGAGTCACCATATTTGGTAAAGCGGTCCATTCGGTGTGACAGAAACACAAAGGGAGGAAGGATGATTTCTGAGGCCCAGGCTAAGCTTTGAACAGAGGTCTGAGACCCCTCAGCAGCCGCTAACTGCTCACCATGTGCTGTCATATGACCAGCACAAAAGATGGCTTCAATGATTGCTCTAAGCTGTAAAGACACCAATCAGGAAATCATTCTGCTGTTCAAAGTGCTTTTGAATATTTCTTTAGGAATGATTCTGTGGTGTAAAGTATTCACACAGAATGGGGATTCTCACAGTCCAATATGTCTATAGAGATATTTCAAATATGAGAAGTTATATATGGATTCTAAAACCACCACTACTCTGGCTTTGTGAAAATACAGCACAGAAATAAGAAAAATGTCACTGAAGCCTGACTGAGAGATGCATATATCTTGATGACATTTAGGTGAGTCACATACCTGCTCTACTAACCATGCTTTCTCTTTAAGGGAAACAGGATTAGATCTTAACCCACCGTCTTGTGGCAGTAAGTATGTTAGAATTGGGATGCCACAAATCAGAGTGATGCAGATATTTAAAATGCTATATAATGAAAAGGAACATTCAAAATTAAAAAACTTTTAAAAATGCAAAATATATAGTGGAAATATAATTTTAAGGAATATAAATGTGCATAATTTTGAATTGATTGCATATGAAAAAATTTCCTCGCAACTTATTTTTTTTTATTTTAAAGATAAAAGGAGGGAAACATTAACAGACAGACAACATTTTACAACATATCACAAGCACAATACAGACAATACAGAGTTACAAACAAAGTGGTAGGGAATTAACAATGGTGGTTGTATTACATATTGATATCTTCAAAGTGGCTTCTCATGAAAACAGATATAGACACGCAATACTGGTCAACCAAAGACTCATTGACAGTTTCTTTCCTCACAACTTATTTTTCTATGCAGAATCCTATATTTTGGAATGTTGATATGAATCAACATATGAATACACCGTTGAAGAATGTCAGCTATGGATCTGAAATTTGTAATCTTCTTACTTTTCCCAATTGTCTTTGGAAGTCTGGGAAATGTTTCACTTTTATGTCAGTCTGTCTTCCTTTACTTCAGTGGATGCAGGTCCAGGTCTACAGATGTGATTCTCAGGCACCTGACTGTGGCCAACTTCTTGTACATTCTGTGCAGGGGAATCCCAGAGACCATGGCAGCTCTTGGGATGGAAGACTTCCTCAATAATGTTGGATGCAAACTAGTTTTCTATCTTCAAGCAGTAGGAAAGGGTATGTCCTTCAGCACCACCTGCCTGCTGAGTGTCTTCCAGGCCATCACCATCAGCCCCAGGAGCTCCAGGTGGGCAGAGCTGAAAGTGAAAGCCCTAAACTGCATCGGACCCTGTACCATCATTTGCTGGGTCCTGCACATGCTGCTAAACATCAGAATTCCTATATTGGTGAGTGACAAAAAGAGCAACAAAAACGTCACAAACATTATAGATTTTCAGTACTGTTTAATTATGAGTCCTGACAAAGACACAAACTCCATTTTTGCAGCCTTGTCATTATCACACGACATTTTGTGTTTGAAACTTATGATCTGGAGCAGTGGCTCCATGGTTTTCATTCTGTACAGGCACAAGCACCAAACTCAGCATATTCACAGACACAACATCTCACCAAGATCTTCCGCTGAGACAAGAGCTTCTCAAAGCATCCTCACGCTGGTCTGTACCTTTGTGTCCTTCTATGCCCTGTCTTCAGTCATTTATGTCTGGTTTTCTCTTTATGACAGAGCTGCTTGGTGGCTGGTTAAAACTTCTACCTTAACCAGTGCTTGTTTCCCTGCTGCTAGTCCCTTCATTCTCATGGCCCGTGAACAGTGTGCGTGCAGGCCCCTGTGGAGGAAGTGAACACGCATCTCACCTGTTCAGACATGTCAATGAGTCTACTTTTCATGTCTTCAGTACTGCACGCACTCACCCATCACAAAGCCCAAAGCACAATCATGAGCCAGTTTTACTATAGAGTTGGGTGTAAAGATGATAGCTAGAGTTATTTTTCTAATCAACAGTAATTTAAAGCATTTGAAATAAAATAATTTTTAATATTAATGATTAATATAATTTTATTTTACAAGTGAAACTTTTTGACTTCTTTATTCAGTGACTTCCAGCCTGTCTCTCTGCGTTCCTTCTTTCTTTTTTCCATTCTTTGTTTTTTGTATGGAATATTTTTCTTTACCAGTCTCAAGTAATTACACATTTTAACTTACTTTTGTCAGTGAAATATGTATATGTATGTACATATATAATTACTATATATTTAAATGAGGATTAACTCTCTTAATATACTTTTATTAGTCTATTGTACCTTTCTGGATTTCTATCATTTGTTCTTTTATGTCAGATCCAGGTTTTTATATGACACTATAAGTACAATCTCTTTTTATACATTCTTCAGCTGATGGGCATTTGGGTTTTTTCCAAGATTTATCATTACAAATTGTGCTGCTATAAACATAGGTGCACATATATTGCTCAGGTATGATGTTTGTAATTCTTCTGGAAGGATCTAAAAAGGGGACTAGTTTGATCGAAAGGTACCTTTAATTCTACTTGTTAAAGGAATCTCCACACTGATTTTGGCCACATCAGTGTACACTCCCATCAACAGTGGAGGATTCCTTT